GGGGGGGGGGGGGGGGGGGGTGGCTTGTTTGTTTTAGCAAAGATGATGGTATCAGTTCTCTATCAAACAAGTAGTTCAGTAATACGAAGTGAAAAGGCTCTAAAAAGTGCATGAAGTTGGAGGTCAAAAAGCTGACGATCAAAAACAAAATGTGAACTTCCAGGGCATGATCAACACTGATTAACCATACTGGATCAGTCAGTACATTAACGGTATATTGACACAGTCTATAACTTATTAATTCCATTGTTAAGAATAATAAGGCTGGGGGGAGGGGGAGAGGGATTAAAAGTCAAGAGAGGGGAGTAAATTGACTTCCTATTCAAGGCTGTGCTCTAAGAAAAATTGAAGGGAGCCCAGTGCTAATAATTTGTATGAAAAAACTTAGATTTTCTAGTTTCCGGAGAGCCAAAGTTAGGTGTCAAGGGCCACCAGGCTCTGTTAGAGGACAGCCCTGCTTTTTGTAAAAAAGGAGGGACCTATAGAAAAGAGGGCTGAAGGGTTATACCTGTTTTGGGCCGCACTCCAAACACCAATACTCCACCCTTTGTATTCAGCAGACCGTTCATATACTTACTGACTGTCTGTAAAAAGAACATGAAAACACACACTGTGTTTAAGCAAAGATCTAATGCCCCTGAATTATGATGACTATATTCTTGAAAGTTTAATCCAGCAAAAGCTACTTTCACTTTAAAAACCAAAGGTCCAGTAAGAAAAATGGCCTACATTATCCTAAATTTCATACCAAAACTTTTATTTGGTTAAACACACTAGGTTGTCCCCATTTTCCTTGACTTTGTCACTGCACTCTGTTATTAAAACACCTTATTTTCCAAGGAGGGAATGATAACAACCTGACAGGAATTGGACTAGTTGAAACAACAATTGTGATAATTTTGCAGAAGTGAGGGAGAATTTACACTTTGGGAAACTTTCTATGATGAGACACTCTTTTAGAGGGGGGGAGGAGGGGTACATATATCTTCAGTCCGAATTTTTCAAAACCTGTTGTTTTGCATTTTGAGGAGGAAGCCATGTCCCTGTCTATATTTGATTAATGTAATTGATGTTTGATGGAGGGGGGCTTATTTGATTTAGCAAAGATGATGGTATCAGTTCTCTAGAGCTTTTTTGGTGCTGTCGCTGTGTCAGCCTATCCATGTGTTGTTCACCACCATTCAGCCGTCCGGTGTCGCCATTTCAGTGCAATGACACTTGTCAGAATTTTACCCTAACAGGGTCTCAATAAAAATGGCCAAATTTGAATGCTTGTAATTCTGTTGAAATGCTGAGTATCACAACCAGTCAGTGTAAAATGCAGACTGTGGACTATTGTTTTCACCATGCAAATGAGTACATGATAGCAATAGTTCCGTTGTTTTTTAACCCTAAAAACAATAGTCCGCAGTCATCATTTTACACTGCCCCATCGGCTGACATACCAACCTTTTTGAATAGCCCGGATGGAAATCCAGGCTTTTCGAAATAAAAATGAACCACGTTTTCGTCATTTGGTTTGAAAATGCCTCCTTTGAACATCCTACAAATATAAAGGAGAGTCACTTTTCATCTGAATTTTAACTAAATTAACAGTAGACTTTTGCTGAAAATTTATTTGGCTGTTAAAAAATCGTTGGTGCCAGCCAGCTAGAGAAATAAACATTGTATATTTGTATCAGACAGAATTAGGTGTCCCAATGATAATGATTGAATAAACGAACGAATGAAGGATTGATTTACTGTTCGATTGACTTGCTCATTGGAAAATTAAATAAATGAATGAATGAATGAGTGAGTGAGTGAATTAATGAATATTTATTGATCTCTTTAAAGAGTGGTTGGGTTCCAACAGAAATTACTGAATTTTCTATTTTTGATCTGTCATAACCTGTGAACCGGCTCTCTGTTTGGTGGAAAGAATTCCCCTCTCGAACGAAGGTCTGTTCACAGGCTAGATTTTTCACCAATTATGGACCATGCATATTAGCTGCTACGATGATAATGTTACAAACTGTAAATATAAACAAAGTTACAAAAAGACCGAATGACTGAACGGTGTATTATTTATGTATTATTTATATAAAAAGGTTGAGGTGACTTCTCACTCTGATCAATCGAATCGCGCCCTTCTCTATCTGATCAAAGGCGATCGCGAGAAAATATTGCACACTTCAACCCCAGGGAGTAATGTTTCGTTTAATTAATATCCCATACCTCAACACAAAAGCTTATCCGAACACAGAAGAACACAGATCAACAGAAGAAACCGAACTGCGATAAGCAAGCTAACCAAGCTCCTGGGGACTTGAAAAAACGCGGGAAGTTTTGAATTTGTTCCCAGGGACAAGCGCGGAAACGGCACAGGTCAACCAAGCATGTTTTAAAATTTCTTGCTCTTCACCGGCCCGAGGGATGGGTGGGTACTCCCTATCATGGCCTATACCACTGTATTACGGGGAGGCTCCGTCCGAAAGGGGTATCTTTTTCAGGCGTCAAGTATATAAGAGGGTAGGGATTTTACTCGTTGAAGTATATAAAAGGGTAGGGAGGGAAATCTGTCATTTGGGTCTGTGAAAGGGCTTTATAAAGTCGAGGAAACGTTCTATTTTTGTGATTGATTCCTATTTAAAAGACAGTGCATTTCAGCAGTAGTTAAAAGGGATGCAAAGTTCTAAACAACGTATACGTCACATAAAAGGGTAAGGGGTTGGACATCGGACCATTTACAGAAAGGTTCCGGATAACCCGGTTGGAAAGTATATTAAAATGAAGCACGGCTTTTTGGGTCGAGTCGTTCGAATACACAGCCTTTCACTTGACAACTTTCGCAGACCTCAATAGGACCAAACAGGCATTGAAACGTGCCCAAGAGGCCTGGGCCAGGTTGCATAAAAACCTTCTGAAGATAAGAGGACTCCTAACTTCTGTTCTAGAACAATATTCTATTGTTGTTTCGAAAAAATAGTTACGAGTTCCCTTAGACCCTGTTTACATGGAGTGGGGGACCCCGGTCTAGTGGGGTAAGTTTCTTTTGATTTGTGTCCCCCAGAGCGTGAAAACAAAAGAAACTTACCCCACTAGACCGGGGTCCCCCCACTCCATGTAAACAGGCCCTTAATCTTAAAATGTTTTTTGCAACACGACCTTGAAACGCAGTCAGCTCATAATTAATCACAAGAAAACGCTTAAGGTAAGATTGAAAGCGAAATTTATTGCACATTTTCCGTTGAGTGGTGCCTGATCTCACAGTTATATACCTGGATCGGTATAATAGCAACTTGCTTAAAATATAAAACGGCAAATTGATCCTTACGGCAAGGCGATGAACAAGTGAACAAAAGAGTTATACAAAAAAAAATAAATAAATAAACAAATTTGGACACCTTCCACGCAGGCTACGTAAAGTCGACATAGGAGAGTTCGGATCCAAGTAAATTGCAGCCTGGAGATAGATGGGCACCAGGGGTTATTGAACAAGAGTCGGATTCAGCGAAACTGTTACGCAACGGGGCCTACGACGTTTCGTCCTCACACAAGAAAAGAAGAAGGTCTCAACGTTTTAGTAGCCTGTGTGGAGAGCGTTAGTCTCCTTCACAAACGCTCGAATCGGAGTCACGCAATGCTCCCCGCGTGGGGACAATGGCAAGCATTTAAACCATGCTGAGAAGCGCCCCTACTTCTGACTAAATCGACGGGTGAAATAGACTACGAGCAGTCTCTCTTTTTTCTGTAGTCCGTCGAGCAAAACGCGAGACACGCAAATGGCCACGCGCGAGACTGATGGCGCGAGATGGGAGAGGCACGAAAAAAGAGAGTCTCTCTTTTTCTTCTCGGGCTGCCGCCCTCGTTTCGCGCGTCTCGCGGCTTCGCCGCTCGCGCGCGCGTGCACTCCCCCTTATTAAACCGGAAGAAAACGGGAGACTGCTCGCAGTCTACGGGTGAAATGAGAAACCTTTCTTATGAAAATGAGTTTTATTTGCATAAGAATAAGAATCATTATCAAATCAACTGCGTCGCACTTAGCCTCGCTTTGAAACAGAGGTTTGAGGCAACTCTGCCTATTTACTATTTAATAATTGCTCAAGCCAAAAAGCTCATTAACAAGATTCACGGACTCAGATTTTTTCTTTATCCTGCGCACTTGTCACGTTTTGTTACTTGTGATGTCACGGAATTCACCTTCCTGGGAAACCATGTGTGACGATCAAAAAAACGGCTGCGAAACTACCCAACAGACGCTCGTTAAACTAAGATGATTTTTATTTCTTTACATTTTATCGCAACAGATTAAGGCAGTTAGATCTTGTTGAAAGCAGCAACATCCACACTCTGAATCTGTTAAGAGTCACAAAATAAGTGAAAACACTTGTCAGAGTATAAAAAGGTGAAGGCGCACACGAGCCAAAGGTTTAAACGGCCGGGGCTTATTCGGGTTTCTTTAACATGACGCATGCCTAGGGGTGTTGCTACCCCTCCCCCCCCGCAACCCTGAACAGGATGCTAATCCATCGCAGGGTTGCCTCCCAGCAGTATGTTGCTGGTACCCATTTATAGACCCGGGTACGAGACAAAGAGCGAAATAAAGTTTAAGGGAAAAACGCAACGGGCCGGGCTTTGAAATCTGGAGTTCTAGTTGTTAACCGCTCGGCCACATACGTCTCCGCAAACAAAGCGAAAAATATGACATTAAAGGATCAAGTAACAAGAAGAGGAAACTGTCAAAACAAAGAGTTTAAATAAAACTTACGAAATCTTCGAATTCCGTTATTTTTTCCTCGAGAAACTCTGTACCAACTTTATCGTCCTCGACTACACAAGAAATTTGTAGCTTCTGTACACCATAGGCTACTGGTACAAACTTGCCTAAAACACACAAAGACAGAGTTTAGACATAAGATTAAGAATCGCCTTTACAGGGCCGTAGCTTGGGGAGGGGCCGCGTTTTTTTTGCCGCAAAAAGTCAAAACATGCACGGATAAAAGTTGAAAATACAAATTCATCTCCCAGAGCACTGAAACAATGATGTCTCTGCAGCTAGGTGAAACATTTTCTAGTTTTAGGATACAGAGACCAGTCCAATGGGTCGTCCAGACCGCAAACCCTCTGCTTTTCAAATACAATGAGCCACCTAAAATCTTTGCACCCCCCTAGTTTCTAAAGGTTTGCTTCGGCCCAGCTTTACAACAATAGCCTGCCCGTGTCCACTTCGTGGTAAAGGTAAAGGCGCACACGAACCAAAGGGCAAAACGGCCGGAGCTTAATTACCCCGGTTTATTTAGCTTGAAGCATGCATAGGAGTATTGCTACTCCCTCCTGGTTGTGGTAGTGGCGGTGGTGGTTCTGGTAGTGATGATGATGATGATGGTGATGGTGACGCTTATGTATCAGTACAGGTACTTACTTGTTCCCCAAAGAAGACCATCGCATGTGATAGAACGTACAGCGGCTTCCATAGCTTTTAGATCTGTAAAATAAAAGAAATATTTAACATTTGAAGCAGCTTCATTTACACGTCATCGTTCTGGCAATCAAAAATTTTTGTTACCATGATATTTATAAGTCTCTGCTAAAAGTGATAGAGTATTTTTTTCTTAAATTACTTAGTATGAGTAACCATTATGAGTAAGCTTCTCTTAATCCTCCAAGAATGATCAGCATCAAAATTCTCCTTGTGATATCAATGCTTTTTATAAAACAGATCAGTGACGACAATAAAGGACATCATCACACAAGATAAATCTGGTTTATACTTCAACAATTATTTCTCCCCTCTACTTCTATAGGAAATGTATAGGGACAACAAATGAGAATTTGAATTTTGATAGCAGAGTTCACCTTCATGTAAATTCTCATCAACTTACCTGTTTCATCATCCCACTGAGGAGAAAAAATGTGCTTTTTTAAAAAGATCGGTCTTTAAGTGTTTCTTGAATAAATTAATTGTATCTAAACTTCTAAGATCTAATGGCAGCTCGTTCCAGAGTTTAGGTGCAGCAATGGAGAAGGCCCTGTCTCCGTATGTTTTAAGTCTTGACTTCAGAACTGCCAGAAGTTTTTGATCAGTAGAGCGTAGCGTACGTGAACATGTACGATAACTAAGTAATTCAAGTAATTCAAGTAATCATCTATGATTTAATCAACATGTGTTATCATCAGCAAAATATTAATATTGTAAATTATCATCACCACCACAATCATCAACATTATCATTAACATCATCTTTCATTATCATCACTATTGTTATAATCACCATCAATATCAGACCTCCCGTTCTGCAATCAAGCGCTCTACCAACTAAGCTAATCCTGCCATGGTTAAACCAGAAATATCATTGAAATGTTATTGTGTTGAAGGAAAAAGTCAATTAGGCAAGTGGACACTAAAGCACAAGAAACAATGCTAATTAGTTGGTGATTGTGTTGTTTGCCTGCACGTCCTGAACTTTGTTGTGATTGATAACAACACAATAAACATTTCGGAAATATTTTTGATGTTTAAGGTTTTCTGGGCTTGACAGAAACCTACCGGTTTTACATCCAGAATAATGTTTGACTTTGCTATAACTCCTGGTTCTGAAACGACAGTAGTTGTATGTTAAACCATACTCTTTTCAGCGATGGGTGCTTATTGAAAGCACTGAATCATTCACTAACATTCAGTTACTCCACATAAATAGTGATAAATTTCACACAGTAAAATCCTTTCCATAACAGAATAATATGCAGTAAAAATAATAATTTACCATTGTGATCCCTTAAAAAAAAGTGCCTGATATGACTACTTATTTATTTATTTATTTTATTTCTTTATTTTGTACAAGGGTAGGTCCGTAATTCAGGGGGTGGGAGTGGCGTCAATGTTTCCCTTTAGGCTGATAACAGTAAAATCCCGTTAAGAACTGATCACTGTTGAGCATAAGCTGGATTGCCGCCACTCTCCTGAGTCCAGTCCTTTGATCCTCCCTGTTTTCTCAAACAGTGCAGTGGCTGTTAATCAAGCCTACGTTAACCCTTTAAGTCCCAATATCCACATACAAATTCTCCAAACTGATCTCTATACATTTCCTGAAAGAATGAGTTGAGAGAATTTGACAAAAGATCAAGGCATTTTCTCTTAGGTGATCATTTATTAATTCTCATAACTTAATCTCTTGACAATGTACGGATATCATTGGGAGAAAATTGATGTTGGTCAGTATTGGGACTTAAAGGGTTCAGCAGTGTACAGAGACAAAGACTTGTACAAATACTTACTTTTGGCTTTCTTGGCTGCATATTGTGCAAGTCTTGCTTTCCTCTCCTCTTTTTCCTAGCAAGAGAAACCAGGATAGCTAAGATAAGATATCCCAAGATAGAAAGAGGGTGCAGCAAAGTACAGTGTTCATGCAAAATGCTGACACACATTAGAAGTCTGTGCATTGAGTTAAACATGAAATGTCTTGTTGATTTTCTGACATACTTCTTCATCTTCTTCCTCCTCATCAGAGCCAAACAAATCAAAGTCATCATCATCTTCCTCCTTATCGTCATCCTTAGCTTTTTTACCCTCCTTTGGTGGCTGAGAATTCAAGTGTAAATAATAAGCCATTCAGTCCGAGCCTACAGATCATGACACATATTTACAGGTGTAGTTTAATTTCAAAACGTTAAATGCGCAGGGAAATCTTCGACGCTGTTTTTTTTTAAAAATCAATATCTCCCACATTAGCCTTGATTGCCATGTATCTTATACAGAAATTATGTAGACATATACTTTATACTTTCTACGCAAAAATAAATCTTTCATTTCAAGATCTGCATAAACAAATCTCAGAAAAAATTATAAAAACTTACAGCTGAAGCTGGCTCGGACTGTGCCTTGCCCCCTATGAAGAAAAGAAATCACACACTGCAAGTTACAGAAACTGATACACTTCCAACAAATTGTGTGTAGCTGTCAATAGGGTAAATTTTACTTTGTAAGTAAAAATTTACCAAGAACTTGTTCAAAAGCAACCCTTAAATCAACAAGGTTATGCCTTCTTCAAGGCATTTGATCAAATCCAACAACAGCACAGTACATGAAATAAGAATAGCTAGGGAGCTTAATAGGCAACAATGACATCAACGAAAATGAAAACTGCCAAAGAATAGGACAATTTATTGCATGATGACGATATTTGACTACAACTACCAGAATTCATTTTGGTTTTGCTTTGTTATTTAAATTTGTCAATCCCGCTGAGGATTAAAGAACAATAGCCTTAATTTGCACAAGAAAACAGAAAACTCAAGGATTCTGGTAGTTGTAGTAAAATGACGTCATCGTGCAATTGTCCTATTAAGTAGGTAACTTAATAAGCCTTCACAACTCCTTAAATGGATTACCCTTTTTGGTACATCTCTTTGCTATAGTGTGTGTGACTATGATGTGAAATTTGTCAATGTATGACATTTTAATCACACAGTTAATGATAGATAATTCCACCTTCAGTAAGCCATGCTCAAAGATGGCGGGAGTGCATTTTCTTGTCTCCATAGCATTTAAATGTACTCCTGTCTGTGTCGTTTGACCTTTTAACATCCTGTATAGTGTTTTACACTTAACCATTAATAAATATGTATGTATGTACCTTTTTCTAAACTTAATTAACATAAATTATGATCCTTAACAAATTCACCTTCAAAAGAATTCACCCACATTTGACAAGTTTCATGCAATGGAATATATGTAATAAAGTTCAAGGAAAAGCACATGAACTTAATTATTTGTCAGTAATGTTTTTACTGCTGTCACTGTTCTCATTGCTTAATTAAAGTCTCTGATTCCCAAACTCTTAGCTTCACACACTGACTTTTCAGTGATGTGTTGCTAGGTGTCTGGAGGATGGCTGTGGCTTGGTTACCATGGTGACATCTTTGCTGCTATGGAGACTGTTACTTCCCTCTATAGCTGCCTTTAACAGGTCTGCCCTCTTATACTTACATGTATGCAATTTTCTTTATGTTTAATCTAATTTTAGAGAACAAAACTGAACGATAATTATAGTCTTTTTATTACCTTTCTCAAGCTGAGTAACTCGCAATGTTAGTTTTTCCAGTGCATTCTTTAACTCATCAGTAACTATAGAGTCAAATATCAAAAATGATTTAAGACTAAGGGTTAACACTGTTACGTGATGACCAGGTGATAATAGGTATTAGCACAACTCCCCAAAAGTAGTCTCACAAGTGTGGCGGAGGTTATCCAAACAAAATAAAACTTGGGCAACGAGCGAGAACAACAAAGATTTTAACTAGCGATCCGAGAACTACACAATGACACAACAAAATGGCGGATCTCGCGAGCACATGTTCGAGTCTCTAGTCCGTGGGGACTAAGTCCTATTTTGGTAGAGTCCGCTGGCTAAAGGGCAGTCGGCAACAACAAGGATGAAGTGCTGTAAACATTATTTGATTAATCAGCAACATTTTTAATTATTTCTTATAAATCTCTTATGTATGTCAGACCTTTCCTCAGTTGCCTGTTCTCCTCTTCTAGCTGAGCAATACGAGCATCTCCACTTGCGGGAGCCGACGCATATGTTGGTGCCTAACGTAGATGCAATTAACCGTCTTAGTACTTATACACATAATGAGGCTGAATTGAATGTAACTGTAAGGTTAAAACCTAGCTATATTACTGGTCAACTGTATCCAAATGTGAACGTTTTTAATCCATCAGTGCTCCCATGAGCTCTTGCCTTCAGAAAACTGTTGTAAGATACATGTTTATATTAAAAAATTGGGTTATTTAGATAGGTTGTTAAAGTCAGTGATCAGAAAAAGATTGATGGCCATGGTGCAAATTTAAGGGCAAGCTAAGACACTAGCTTACCGAGCTAAGCGTCTGATGAATTTTTTCACGGGCTTTTGCAATTTCTTGAACTGGAGAAAAGCTTGAGGCCTAAGAGAGAACAAAATTTGGTTTGAAAAGTACAGCAGATTTAATGAGTATGTGAAAGAGATGTGCTTCAGGCTGAAATGGTGGAAATGAGCTAGTGTTGGAAAAATTGTGGCAGATTATATGGATTGAATGATGATTCACATAGCTACATGTAAACGCTGTAAAAAAAATGTAGAAAGTGTCTCGGCTAATCCGGCATGACTGGATGTTCGTAATATGATGTGACACAATACAGCTCTCAAGCAAAAAGAATGCAACAACTAGTCAGTTCAAATTCATTATCTAATACAATAAACCACTAAATTGTGCAAAAAGAATGCAACAAGTCAGCAAGAATTCTCAAGAAGGAGTCAACAGTTCATATTAACCCAGCCCTAAATTAAAACCAAGAAGCATATTCTTCACACTGTTCTCTATGTTAATAATTTTTACAGTGTTAGTTTCATGATTACATGTATTCCTTAGTTTTTTGTGACTTTTAATTTAGGTAAGGTTTTGATATTAAACTACAACTACTGCAGATTATCTCAGCAATCATGTTTTGTTTCTTGAGGAGCAGTTGTAGGGTGCTTTAACGCTAGAACTTTAATGGACCCTTCCACAGTTTTTTTCAACTTTTGACAAGTTAGGGAAAATCTGTCAACACCAATGGAAAGAGTACCTTAAAATTAGTAAAATTGTCAAGGTTGAAAGTGATTTGTTCAAAACTAATGAAGATACAGCTCCATAAAGTCGTGAAATTTTACAGACATTCATATGGTGGGGGGAGGGGGCACAAACTTGCCCCCCACATACATAGCTCCTTAAAGCCGTGTAATTTTACAGACATTTATACAACCTCGTCCCCAGGGCTTTTCCCTTAAAAAATGGGTGGGGCGGGAAAAGGCCCTGGCATCGGCTGGTCACGTGTACAGCCTAAATATTCCTGAGAAGCTAATTTATATGCAACCCGCTGGTTTTGCGCTGACAGAAGTCGAACGGAGCAACAATGGAAAGTAATAATATCACGAACTGTATGTCAATATTTTCGCATCTGTGCGATTCAAAAGCTTAAGATCCATTTAATTGTGTATTATTCAAACGCTACAAGTTTATGAAAGGGCGTACCGGCTCTACGTTGTCACGTACAAAATATGTCAAATGCTTCAGAGTTGAGACAAGCTGTTATCGAGTAGTACTTCGACTGAAATTCATCGCGACTGTGGAATTACTATACGATCATCAAGCGGAAAGTGATTTTGTCCAATGTCAAACAAAAATGTGGGCCTTTGCCTCTAGGATCTGCAGTGAATTTAAACAAATTGAACTTAATTGAAATAGAATTGTTCATCAAAATGCTTTATGGAATCTGGTCTTCTAACCCGACCATGAAACAAACAAATCTCCGCGCCGGATGCAAGTCAGCCCTCCAGCCAGGAACGATGACAGGTCGCCGATCTGAAACATTTGAAGATCTCTTATATATTTTCTCTTCCGAGGATAAGTACAAAGGATTTTCCTTATATTAAAGGGAAGATTGACCGATCGATTGGAATCAACCACAGCTATGTCAATTTTAAATGGACCCAAGTCTTTCTTTGTTACCAGTCGTTTGATACCTCTGAAGTCTAGAACAATATTTCTTTTACCCTGGGTGCCAGAGACTATTCATGCGCGGTTTCCGGTTTCGGTCAAGTCTCGCAGAGGTCAATGAATTTTTTTAAAATACAGTCATACAAGATAAGTCTAAACCAACGCGTATCGCTATGATGATATGGCTGAGAGTTAAGGTGAATGGAACTAGGTTGTGTATGGCGGTCTACTTCGCAAGAAATAAAATAAAATATCAAAAGAAGTCGCGAAAACGAACTTTTCCGGTACAAACTTTATGCATGTACGATAGCTTGTTTGTCATTTATATCGCTCTATAAAGGAAGTTTTACAAATGTTACCGCTCGCCGTCCCCTTCATAGAAATTGGAGGAAAGCAAAAAATTACCATAGCCAGTATCTGTGACAAAAAGGAAACCTTGTAAAACTTTTCGTTAATCGTCAAGAGATATAAAAGGCCGCCCAAGATCGCGCGCTGTGAGGTTATGCATAATTTTAGCTTTTCACATAGCGCTAATTTATTACACCCAGGTTTTTAGGGTGTACGAGGGGACACGTGACCAGCCGATGCCAGGGCCTTTTCCCTCCCCACCCATTTTTTAAGGGAAAAGCCCTGGGGACGAGGTTGACATTTATATGGTGGGGAAAGGGGGCACAAACTTGCCCCCCACATACATAGATCCTTAAAGTCGTGAAATTTTACAGACATTTACATGGTGGGGAAAGGGGGCACAAACTTGCCCCCCACATATATAGCTCCTTAAAGTCGTGAAATTTTAAAGACATTTTATATGATGGGGGTAGGGGGCACAAACTTGCCCCCCACATACATAGCTCCTTAAAGTCGTGAAATTTTAAAGACATTTTATATGATGGGGGGAGGGGGCACAAAATTGCTCCCCACATACATAGCTCCCTAAAGACGTGAAATTTTACAGACATTTATATGGTTGGGGGAGGGGGCACAAACTTGCCCCCCACATACAAATGTTGTTAAAAAATTTTCACAACTTTGCGGAGCTATATCTTGGCTCACTTACGATGTATCACTTTCAAATTTGGCAATTTTATTAATTTTAAGGCACTCTTTCCAGTGCTGTCACTTGATTTTCCCTAACTGTGCAAGGCTCTTTTATCATTGATTGATCAAAAGAAACCCTTGAAGTATAAAATTTTGCGCTGTGTCGACTAACAACTTAGAAGGACTATGAGATGATCTTCTACAAAGGGATGTCCCCCTTCCTTCCACAATCCCCTAAGGATGGCAGGCTTTCGAATAGGGGGTTTGGATTTCTACTTCAAAGTAGCTGACAAAATTTGGTCCCTTCGGACAAATTTTTCAATGGCGGCAACAAAAAAAATGAAACCCTTTGGATTTCATTTTCAAAGGGCACCAAATGAAATTTGAGGGTTCTTTTTTCAGACATCTTTTGGGGGGGGGAGGGGGGGGGTCGGATAAAAAATGGAACATCCCAAGAAAGTGTGAGATCACCTGTTGATGAGTGTATAAAGTGTACAGCAAACAACTATGCCACCTTATCATCATGTAAAAGTTACTTGGGGGAGTAGACATAGAAGTGGCACGGGGGGGGGGGGGGGGGGGGGGGGGAGTAGGGTTTAGGAAGCCCACATCAAATCATAAGGAACTGTACTGTAGAGATAAGAGAAGCATTTTAAATGTTCATTTTAAGGAAGAGACAAGTCTTCTCATACAAAAAAGAAAATCAGCTAGGTATGAAAATTCGTTTTGTTCATTATGATTGCCTTCGGCTATAAATAAATAAAAAAATAATGAGTGAAAGAATGGACTTTTCTCATGATGTAAAATTAACTTTTTAACACATGTAACGAAAGTTAACAACGCAATTCTATTTCAAAAACCATATACAGTACATGTAAGAAAATAGTCCAAATAAAGTAAAGATTGGCTGTGGAAAACATGAAGATTTTGATATCAAGTACCTTTACTGGCGACCCATGTGACTGCGAGACAGACAAAGTTCCCGCGAGAGATCTCTGATAATGAGCTTCTGCCTGCTCGTATTTCGGTCTGTCGTACCAGATAGATTCGTGAAGCATTGCTGCAGACATGACAGTCTTTGTGAAGGCAAGAAATAGGTATCTGACCCAGTCAAATTGGGCAAGTTTTATGCCAAGAAATAAAAAGAACGGTGTGTAAGAGTGACTCTATTCATGTACTCTCCCACAGATATATCGGGCATTTTCATTGGCTTAGATAGTTTCACATACAGCATTCAACCAATCAGATCGTTCGAAAGGAAAGAAAAGAGACTACTGCTGAAAGATATCGCTGGCTCGCTTTCCTGCTAACCAGGTCAATTTTCCAGTCGGTTTCCAAGAAGAGTTTTGCTTTCTTCGAGCTAGAGATGCTCACAAAACTCTTACAAAACTTATACAACTTCATCATGAAAAGATAGCGGAGAGGTAAGGTACGCCTAAAATACGTTTAGTTGTTAGAATTGCCTCTCGAGGTGGATGGTAAAAGTATTGCAAAGTCTCTTCGCCAGAGAGAACTTTTAGCGTACTTTTGCACTTAAAAACTCTAAAACACGGTTCAATAACGCGGTAAATTTTTCATGCAGTATCTCGAACTTGCGTCAATTGGGATAGGTAAATTTTACAGGTAGTTTGTAGTGTCATTTGCGCATTTTCTTGAGGTAAAGTTGGTGAGTGAATTATTAAAAGTGAATCATTGAAATTGAAAGTTGAGTACATCATCACATTTCTTCGCATTTCCTGCTTGCAGGAGTGACCATGGTTGAAGATATGGGGACAGGGCTTTTGGAGGACTCCCACACTAAATCAGGGATCCCCATTGAACATCTTGACTATCGATACGTAGAGGGTTGTAAAAATGCTAAAGAACTGGAAAAAATTCTCAAAGTGTTAAGGTAAGTGATAACTAAAGGAAAAATGTTAGAAGAAAGGACTTGTGTACAAGGGGAACATGCTGGTATAACAGCAGACCAATTTTGATGTATTAAGTTTCATACTTGGCTGTGAGAAATGTATCATTCATCCTTGAATCCCAAGGTGATATCTTTTTATTTCCCACTCCTTGGAGCCAAGCATTAATTTCAATTATAATGATAATATTATTTCATTGTCAATGTCTTTGGCTTTGAAATTAAATAAACATATATCAAAATAAAAAACCAGTTGCAGTATGGAGCCGAACCCATGATATAACATACCCCTATTTTAATGGCCAAATTTTTCCCAGAAGGTCGTTGATACCTTGTTATAAATCCAGTCCCAGTTGTCCAAAAGTTAAGCTCATCGACAAGATGAGCTCAGGAGCGGGTGCCTTAAGTTGGAAGGGTCTGTAGCGCAAGAGTTTAACATTGCCTCGGAGGTAGCCATGGTAGCCAAGTGAACTCCAACCACCCAACACTGTCATGCCGAAGAAGTTCAGTGGAATACTTCCCACAACCCCTACTTACCTATGCGAGGGTGGAAGGAGTAGGAGCAAAAACAAGCAGATATCTCAAGTTGTGAATTTACAATGATCAGCAAAGGTCAGCAAAGCAAAGCAGGCAAAGCTGAGATATGCAATCACTTGTAAGCCCAGGCAGACCTCAGCAGCTACCCTGCACAAGCCTATCTGCCTTGGGCTGACCTGTTGACCCGCTAGTGTTGTCTTGAGGTTGACCTTACCTAAATTATAATTTATCCACATGTGGAAAGTGTTATCCACCAGGCCCCAGTTGTCCAAAAGGTTGATAGCACTATCCATCAGATAAATCACTATCCAGTGGATAAGTATAATGGAAACCAATAATTTATTGCACTACCCACTGGATAGAGATTTACCTTTTGAACTACTGCGACCTGATAAATCACCATTCAGTGGATGAGTGTTAGTGAAACCAAAATTTTTGTATTATCCAGTAGATAGTGATTTATTTGGTGGATAGTGTTATCCTCTTTTTGAACAACTGGGGCCAGGGCTGCAACTTGTACTTGAAGTTATCTACAAAGGCAGGAAATTCCAGGGCTCAAAAAGAGTTCCTGACTGGTTGTTCAGGACAATCAAATTTTGCTTCTGGATAGGTAGCTTTTCATGCTGGCAAGTTTTCTTTTAACTAGAAAGTAGATTAAGACAACTGCAGGCCTGAAGAGCAAAATGTTTAGAGTTGCTCGTCCCAAGTAATAGTAATTCATTCTGGCTGTTTCAGATCCGGGGAAGAAGGCGTTTATCCAGATCTTATTGAGTTTACAGAAGAAAGATTGAAAAAGGTCAATCCTAAAAGGTGAGATAATCTGCATGGTGATAATAGCAATGATGATGATGTGATGATGATGATGATGATGATAGTGGCAGTGGTGGATGATTATCATAATGTTAGTGCTGGCTAAAACAATGGCTACACTAATTAATTTTGTAAAAGTTTTTTTAAATAATGATCCCTGGTTATCAAGATGATAAAATGAACCTGTCTAGACACAGCAATAAGTATTTTCTATTTCTTGTCAGCAAAAGTCTTCGCAAAGAAAACCCCATCAAGACATACCATGATTTATCTGCATCAGAAGAACAGGAAATAACAGACGATCTGCAGGTTTGCTTTATATTCATGCACTCTTTACATATGGTATTTTTGGTAGTACTGATCATGAAGTAAAAACTGAAGATCAGTTTCTCCTTGACTCTTTTCCTGATTCAAGATAACTTTGTCAAAAGAATTAAGCTGTCTGCAAATCTGGCAAATTTTCAAACTGTTTGCAGGAATGGATGACAAGTATCAACCAAGCTGACAAATCACTGAAGAAGGAAAGTCAGACTGGTGTTATAGATAATGATAACCTTCCACCAGTCAGATCAGCTGCTAGCAGTGAAGGCTTCTCTAGCAAGGTAAAGATTGTAGCGCATATTTTTTCATCCTGCATAGGCTTTTTTCATCACATGGTATAAAATAGCCATGCTGTTGAGCAAACAGTGGGACCTAAATGAAGGTAAGATTTTTGTTTTTGTAGCCCTGTCCAACTGTGTTGAATGCTCAATAGTGTGAATATTTTGTGCCACTTTTGCAGAAGGTGCATTGTTGTGTAGGAAATAAAGAGTTACTGCATATTTGAGTGTAGTTTTTGTCAGTACAAGATTGTATATTTTAAAATACGTTTTTCAAGCCTGCTTAAAGTAGTGTCAGAATTCTAGTATACTAACAGTATGATAATGTTTTTTATTATATGGAGGAGAGTGTTTTACTGGGAACTAAACCACTCGTACATTCCATATGCCACTTCATCCGGGACCCGGGTGGCGTATTTTCCGTATGTCACCTTTGTGAGTGTCGTATTGGTCAATGACGTCACGATTCCCGCCTTTTGCTTTTGTTGAATTGGTTTCTCCATATAATATAAAGAACATTACACGTTGGCTCGAAGATATGAATTTTATGTTCTCGTGGCAAGAACAATATCTCACTCGTTCGCTTCGCTCACTCGTGAGATATTGTTCTTGCCACTCGAACATAAAATTCATATCTTCTCGCCACCGTGTAATATCCTCTAT